GGGTGGGGCTCGCCGAGAGCGCTTCCTCGATGTACTCCTGGATCGTCATCTCGAACGCGTCCCCTCCTGGAATATTCTGCGCCATCGTCTCGTACAGGGTCTCTAGCTTCTCAGCGCGCATCTCCGTGGAGTTGCTGCTCGCATCCACATCCCCCAATCGGATGCCGAGGGTCACTGCAAGATTCCCCACCTTGCCGTTTAAGGTCCCGAGCTTCTTGTTGAGGTCCTCCATAAAGATGGTAACCGGGGCGAGCTGCTGCTGGAGGAGTGCCGCAATGCCAGCCATGGTCACCGGCTCGGCCTCGGCCGCCATAGCTTCGCCGAAATCTGGTTGGCGAATGGCGTCACCTGGGTCCCCCGTCATCGGCACGTACCCCTCGAGGTGGGCCTGCGAGTCATCCAGGAGGGGGTGTTCGGGGAGTCTGGGCCGTGGCCGCAGCGCTGCCTTGGCCGCCATGTTCGCCCACGGATCGTTCTCCTGGAGACCGTCCTAGAACAGATGGCCGACTGGGGAACCTGGCACGCGGGACCAAGGCGTCCGAGTAGCAATGCTGTGAGCATCCGCCATTGCAGCTACAAATTAAAGTCACACAGTTCGAAAAGCGAAAAAAGGGTGTTCGTTAACGTAGGGCAATAAACGTGTGAAGGGGTGCGCCGAAAAACATTGCCACTGGGGCCTTCGGCGGAGCTCCCAGTGGGGCGACGAAACGTGTGAGAGGCGCGCCGACATGGGGGTGGAACCGCATGCGAACTTTGCAACTGGGGCCTTCGGTGGAGCTACCGATGGGGCCACGAACCGTGTGAGGGGTGCGCCGAAATGGAGGTGGAACTGCATGCGAACTTTGCCACAGGGGTCTTCGGTGGAGCTCCCAGTGGGGCCGCGAACCGTGTGAGGGGTGCGCCAAAATGAGGGTGGAACCGCATGCGAACTTTGCCACGGGGACCTTCGGTGGACCTCTCTATGGGGCCACGAAACGTGTGAGGGGCGGGCCAAAGTTGATGGCGAGGATGGTGATGATGACGGCGATGATGATGACGATGGTAGTGATGATGACGGCCATGATGACGATGATGATGACGATGATGATGCTGATGCTGATGCTGATGCTGATGATGATGATGATGATGATGATGATGATGATGATGACGATGATGATAATGGCGATGGGAGAAGGGAGGATGGGAGGAGGAAGGAAGGAGGAGGACGCGGGTCACTGTCTCTTCAAAACAAAGACCCAACACCACAGGATGGTTGCAACAAAACACCGTCAATCCGAAATGATAGGCTGCCGTCTTTAGAATTAATGTAAGATTGACTGCACGGTTTGACTTCTGGTTCCAGCCAATGCCCGTGTTTGGGCATCGGACTGCTGGGCGCCGTGCCTCCACCTCCTCCTCATCATCAACATCAGCATCAGCATCAGCATCATCATCATCATCAGCAGCAGCATCAGCATCATCATCATCATCATCAGCAGCAGCATCATCATCAGCATCATAATCATCATCAGCATCATCAGCATCATCCCTCATCCTCCCTATCCTCCCCCTCATCCTCCTTCTCTGCCTCCTCATCGTTGCCCTCATCCTGCTCCTCGTAGAGACGGGGCGAGTGTGGAGGAGAAGGACGTGATGGAAACGAAAAAAAAGGAAAGAAGGGGGCCGGGAACAAGGCCGAAGGAGCAAGAAACATAACCACGGAGGACAAAGGCGGATCAGAGGGAGGCGGCGGGGGAGGGTGCAGCTTCTGTGTTCTCTACTGCTCCTGGTCGCGCTAACGCTTCTGGTGCCGTTCCTAAGGATGCTGGGTGCAGCTGCGGCTACTCATGCTGCTCGCACCGATGCCGGGCATGTCCGCCTACAGGCAGATTTTGAACGAAAAATCAAAAATCCAAAAGTAATCCAAATACATGCAATAATAATAACAATAATAAAAGAACATAGTTCTCATATTACTGTTTGACTATATTTGAATAATTCCTCCTGTAGAGTGGCATGCCCGACTTAACGTTAGTGCAGCTGATGTGCCTCGCCCCGCCCCTGCAAGACTCTATCATACTATGCAACAGGACACTCGCGGCGCACAACAGCATGGCGAAGCCTCGCTCCAACGGGGAGCACTCCGTCATGAAATACTGTGGGCACGACAGCTGTGATAGCTGGTATCATCGGATTGGCTTCAATCAGGGTTGGCGAAGAAACAAACGCATCTTCCTGATCCCAGCCGCAAAGCATGTCTAAGCCCCTCCCCACCTCGCGAAAGAGACACTCGCGAAGCTGGGGCGGGTGTTAACAGGCTATGCTAATGCAATTGGGCGCGCTTCCTGCGGGGGAACTAACAGCCATCGCCTGCCAGCAATCTTCGCAGGATCGAAGCAACAGTTACGACCTTCGCAAGTGGCCCATCTACACACCGAGCGCCCCGCCGACTTGTACGATTCGCATGAGTGCAGGTGTCCTCCTGACCCCACCTCGCAAGCCAGCGCCGACATACACAGCATCCCCCCCCTCCATTCGCCCGGGGCGGGTGGAAGGAATATGATACGGGCCTAAATGAGCGAATCCCTCCGAGCCGGTGCTGGACCCCGCCGAGCTGGACCCCGCCGAGCACGCTGCTGGACCCCGCCGAGCTGGACCCCGCCGAGCTGGACCCCGCCGAGCTGGACCCCCGTGGTCTCCAGGCCGGTGCTGGACCCCGCCGAGCACGCAATCAGGCCACTGCTCCGCCAATCTTCTACGATAGCAGCCCATCGGGCAGGCCAGAGACTGCACACGTACGGCAGGTCTGTGTAGTGTCGACCCTGGCGCTGGTTCCTGACACCTCGCGGGCGACGTCCACGCTGAACGCTGGCGGCGCGGTCGCCACCGGTCGACACGTCGCGAACCTACCGTATGTACGACGGTCGCCCAAGCTGCTCTGGGGCAGGCCAGTCCCAAATCCCAAGTGGCACGCTACACTGCAGGGCTGCCCCGCAGGTTGGGTCCCCTATGGATCCGCCACATTTGCATCTTGGTGGCAAAATGGCGGCTAGGGGAAGGGGGGAGGGAAGGAGAAACGCTTACATGAGCTTTGTCGTGTGTGCTGTCGCGGCTACCGTTCACGATAAGAGGAATGGAAAAACGGAGGAGGAGGAATTGCATTAGAGTAACACCAGGAGGCACCAAAGATGCTGCAATGCAGCCTACAACGATCCCCGTTCACTGCAGGGAGCGCCCGCTTGAAAGACGAGAGCCCTATTAGCCCCGCTTTGGAGAAGGTGGGGCCCAATCTTTGTAGCTAAAAAAACATTGTATAGAGACACAAAACTCACAGAAATGCCCAACTATACCCCCATCATGCTAGCGGATTTTGTTTTTATCAAAAACCAGCTTTGACAAATAATATCGTCTATCCGTGCCTCTGCTGCACACTTGAATTCTCAATCGAAAGACCTGTGTTGAAAAAAAACGCCACCCTATCCGTGTAGCTTTTGCGGACGCTCCTTAACCCTAGGAAGCCAAATACACCCCCCCCCCACCCCGGCGATATCGCTAGCATAGGGAATATACTCGTGTTGGGCGGCGCCTCTGAACGATATCGCTAGCACCTGTGTTTGATTGGCTTGATTGCTAGCAAAACAAATGTGCGCCGCCACGGTGCCTTGCCAATAAGGAGTTCTCGAAAGTGGCGACACGAAGGCCACCGCATTCCAGAGCGTCCACTGACAATGAACTCACAGGAAAGCGAAGAAGTCATAGGAAGCCCGTAGGATCAATACGAAGCCACAGGACCTCGTTGGGAAATCGGAGCTACTTATGAGCAATCGAAACGGGACACAGACGAATGCGAAAACGCGGGATCGCCTGGGCATTGGAAGTCTTCATTGTGAGCCCAATGCAGAATTGAACCCCAACGGAGGGAGATCGCAGACGCATTTCACGACCCCGCCCGCCGCGATACTCAGCAGAAACAAACGTACTGGCCCAGGCGTATGTCGTGTCGGTCCAGCTCGCACAGGAATCTCAACGAACGATTGAAAGCAATGCCACATGGATGTCAAATGAATATGAAGGGACCCCAAAGGAAACTTAACTAGTATTTTGAAGGAATCCCAAAAATTATATCAACAACAGATTGAAGGAATATCAACGGAATCCCAAAGAAACCAATAGGAAACCCTGAAGACATCTCCTTGGATCCGAGCAGGTGCGCATATGGAGACGTGGCTGAGAAGCATTCTGGCACTGGTGCAGAAAGCCCCCTGCTTTCAAGCCTGACAGAACTCTCCCAACTGTATTTCAAACGGATCTGCGCGGCGCGAAGGCGAAACTTGGTGGTCCCCAAACGTGGTGGTGAGAACACCCGGTGGTGAGTTTTGGGTGATTTGGGTAATGGTTTTCGAGCGCTGGCTGGCCCAGGAAACGCAAAACCTCGTGGCGACCGCGTGTCCCCAAACCCGGTGGTGACCCAGAATTATTTCTTTGGGGAATCGGGGTCACCACCGGGTGTCTCACCACCTGGTTTGGAGACCACCAAGAAACCCACATTTGGAAAATGGAACGCCCTCAGTCCGTGCAACTGCTACAAGATTCTACGACAAGTGTGCGAGGCACCACGGCGAGAGCCTCATTCTGGAAACGGTCCGCCCTCCACGAAACCTGTTGGACATGTGTGAGTGGCCTCAGGACCACACTGTGTAGGGATGGCTCCGGCGAAACGCACGGCCTACCCTGCTGACACGCCTGAAAGCTCGACGAAGAGGAACAACACTGGCAAGCGCGAGGGAGTGCGGAGGAGGGAGGACGGGCAGTCGGGGATGGACAGACCTCCCTTTAGTAAAACGTGTTTAGTGAAAACGACCTCGGGCCCAAACCTGGCGGGCGCAAGCCTGGAAAATAACGGCCGCGGCGCCCTCTCGAGAACCGAAAACGGCCAATTCACTAATCGACGTGTCACTGTTGGGGGTTCTGTCCGCGCCCGAGGCAGGACGAGGAGCAGGAGGGAGGGTAGAGGCGCCCTCCTGCGGCGCAGGCAGCTGCAGGAGGCTCTGCACGCACTTCTCGTCCAGGCCCCAGTGCTCCACGAACGCCCGGACCTGGGCTGACCGGAGGACGACGGCCTGACGGCGCCCTCTCGGTCCACACTCCCTCCACGCCTCCCCCTCACCCCCCCTCCGCAGCCCGCGCCTCTCCTCGCCTCCCAGGCGCGGCTGCTCTCAGACGGGCTAGCCCCTCTCCGGGCCCCCCCTGCATCTCTTCCTCCCCCTGCCCCCGCGCCTTCCCCTCCTGCTTCCACTACCCACCCCTCCCCTCACCTCCCCAGTCCGCTCCCCTCCCCCATCCCATCCCCCACCCCGGCCCCCCCCCCCTCCCCCATCCTGGGCAGGACTGCTCCCTGACGCGGGCTTGCCACCGCATCTCGCCCCCCCCCCGCCTATTCCCTTAATCCGCCCCCTCCTCCTCCTCCTCCTCCTCCTCCTTCCCCCCCTCCTCCTCCTCCTCCTCCCTCCTCCTCCTCCTCCTCCTCCTCCTCCTCCTCCTCCTCCTCCTCCTCCTCCTCCTCCTCCTCCTCCTCCCGTCTTCCCCCCTGCCCTCGCTGCTCCCAGGCGCGACTTGCGGTCTGCTGACCCCGCCCCAGCCTCACCTCGCCTCGCCTCCCCGTCCCGCCCCCCTGTGGGGATGGAGAGACCCCCCACCACATCCCCTTCGGTGGCTACTCATGGAAGCCTCCCATGCCATCTTGCAGGCTCTTGCGAACCGACGCTGACCGACGCTGATCGACGTTCATCGACGCTAAGTTGATGCGAATCGGTCCTCAATCGGCGCTTTCCCGTCGATCGCCAGACGCTAGCGCGCGGTCATGAACTCCAGAGACGGACTTTCGAAAGTCAGAAGGCTCCCATGATTTGCTACCGAACGCCTCCCCGCCGACCCTAGGACCTTCTCCTAGGACCAAATCTTCATCCTCAGTCGTTTTCGGGGATGGACAGACCTCCCTTTAGTAAAACGTGTTTAGTGAAAACGACCTCGGGCCCAAACCTGGCGGGCGCAAGCCTGGAAAATAACGGCCGCGGCGCCCTCTCGAGAACCGAAAACGGCCAATTCCCTAATCGACGTGTCACTGTTAGGAGGTCTGTCCAGCCCCGACGTTTTCTGGCAGTCCTGGAGCCCGTGGAGGGCCCCGGGAAGCCGAGCACGGCGGAAAACCTCTCGGGACCTCTCGGGACCCTTTTCCTTCATTCGGCGGCGAGCCGGAGGGGAAGCGAGAAGGTCGGGTGTTGCTAGAAGTGCCCATGGGCAAAGGTGCCCCCAGGATTCTCGGGGTAGCCCAGACGGCCTCCAAAGCACCCCTCACGAGGCCCAGAGGGCCCCAGGGGCTCCAAAATGGAGCGAAAAGCTGGGGGCACCTTGGGCCAGGGGTACTTCTAGCAACACCCGAGAAGGGGCGAGCCTTCTCAGAGGGGCGCGGGAGGCCTCGGGCTTTCCGGAAAGAGGCTCGGAGCCTTCCCCGAAAATGAGAACGCTCGTCCAAAAGGCACGAGAGGGCTCCTGGGGAGTCGGCGATTCGTTGTCTCTGTGTTGTTTCCCCTCCTGAGAGAAACCCCGCCGCCTTCTGGCGAGGCCTGCCCCGTCTCACTTGCCCGCGTCGCCCGCCGCAGACTCACGGCGGAGGCCCCCAGCGGACCGCCCCCCGGAAGCCACAGTCGACAGAAAACGCACACCTCCTCCTCCTCTTCCATCTCCTCCTCCTCCTCCTCCTCCTCCTCCTCCTCCTCCTCCCCCTCCTCCCCCTCCCCCTCCCCCTCCCCCTCCTCCTCCCCCTTGAGGACCCCAATTGGTCGAAGGCGAAGCCCCCTCCCCCCAGAGATCCGATGCAGCGTTTTTCTCAGCACGGCCCCCCCGGAAAGCTCGGCCCAATTCCCTGGGACCAGCTTTCCATCCTGAGTCGTTTCTGTTGTACGGTCCCGCGGCCGCGCGAAGGCCTCCGGAGGCCGAGAAGGGCGAGAAATCTCCGTCTTGATCTTTTCCATTCGCTGGACTCGGGCGCTGGCAGAACTGGGTTTAGTGGAACCCGGTTTAGTGATGTGTACTGGGGGACGCCCCCCCCCGCCCCGTTCCACTCATCGGAACTGCCGCCACCCGAAAGAAACACCCGCTGCGGCAGACCTGGTTTAGTGACTCTGGCCAAGTCAAGGGCTCCAGGGCCCCACCACGAAGCGGGTCCCCTCACCTGGGGTCCTGGCTATACCCGATGGATCTCCATTTTTTTTTGCCTGGGGGAGCTCTAGAGGCCTTGGAGTCCAGGAGCCAGAGACGCTCGCGAGACGATGGCGCAACGCCGCATCCCCAGCGGCGCAGTGGCCATAGCCATAGGCCGCATGGATCTCCAGGCCCGCAGACCGTCTCGTTGGGAAAGCAGGGCGGCGGCGCCGCCGGCGGGGCGGCCAGCGTCTGCGGCAGCGCCTGCGGCAGCGCCGGTGGCCCGGCCAGCCACTGGGGCGGCGGGGGCAGGAGCGCGGGGGCGAGCTGCGGCGGCCCGCGCGGGGGGGCCCAGGGCAGGGCGTCCTGCGGCCGAGGGGGGGGCTCTCACTGCTCACGCTCCTCCTCCTCTTCATCCTCCTCCTCCTCCTCCTCCTCCTCCTCCTCCTCCTCCTCCTCCTCCTCCTCCTCCTCCTCCTCCGCCCTTCCTCCTCCTCCTCCTCCTCCTCCTCCTCCTCCTCCTCCTGCTCCTCCTCTTCCTCCTCCTCCTCCACCTCCGTTTCTCTTCCTTATGAAAAACTTGTCCCTGTCGCACCCCGAGACCAGTTTTCAGGGCGGGCCGGGCGTTTCGCCTGAGACTTCCTTCCCATTTACGAGATGCAAGGCGGGTCGCTTTCAAAATGTGGCTTTCGCCTGAGCGCCGCGCACATTCGTTCTAAAAAATTGCAAGAGTTTCACGGACTGAGGGCGGGTGGTTGTCAAAGTGTGACTTCCGCCCTAGCGCGGCGCACATTCGTTTTGAACATTTGCAAGACTTTCACGGGTTGAGGGCGAGTCGTTTTCACATCGTGGCTCTAGCCTTAACGCCGCGCAAATTCGCTTTAAACATGTGCAAGAGCTTCACGGATTGAGGGCGAGTCGTTTTCAAAATGTGGCTCGCGCCTCAGCGCGGCGCACATTCGTTTTCAAAAAATGCAAGACTTTCACGGATTGAGGGCGAGTCGTTTTCAAAATGTGGCTCTCGCCGTAGCGCCGCGCACATTCATTTCGAAAAATTGTAAGAGTTTCACGGATTGAGGTTCCAAAATGTGGCTCTCGCCTTAGCGCCGCGCACAGTCGTTTACAACATGTTCAAAAGCTTCACATATTCCCATCATCAACGCACCAGAAACTGTGTTTTGGAAGGATTCAGGATTATGCGGGTGCAACAGTTATGTTGACTCGCGGTGTTGAAATCCAAACAAGATTCAGGATCGTCAAGACGCAATAGTCAGGTTGATCCGTGGCGTTGGAATCCCGAGAACAATGTCTTGTCATGCTTAAAGGTCTTCAAACGGGTGTCTTCCAACGAGGCAGTTCCATCAATGGAAATGAACAGTTGTAGGGGCCTATAAGGGGGAGCTTGGAGGGAGGGTTTACTCCATCATGTTTGATGTCTCTTGGGTTTACGCAGTGGTCCTCCTCCTCCTCCTTCTCCTCCTCCTTCTCCTCCTCCTCCTCCTCCTCCTCCTGGCCCCCCTCCCCCTCCCCCGAGGAGCGCCTGAGACACTTCTTCCCCTCCCTCCGCGACCAGGCGGGGCTCTCACTGCTCACGCTCCTCCCCATCCTCCTCGTGACTCGCGATGCGGACTGTCCTCCAATGGACCGAAAACCGCGACCACCCCGCCTGGTCAACGCCAGGGGGGAGGAAGAGGAGGAGGAGGAGGAGGAGGAGGAGGAGGAGGAAGAAGAAGAGGACGACGAGGGAAAGGAGAGGAGGCCAGAGGAAGCCCAGTCTTCTGGCGGCTGCGCTCGCGCCTGTTCTCAAGAGGAGGAGGAGGAGGAGGAGGAGGAGGAGGAGGAGGAGGAGGAGGAGATGGAGGAGGAGGAAGGGGGCAGGGAGGAGGAGGAGGAGGAGGAGGAGGACATGTACCAGACAGCGATGAAAATTAAACGATGGATCACCTGGAAGGGAGGCAGAGGCGCCCGCGTGCGCCAGAGCTGGCGGTGCGGGTGCGGGTGCGGGCGTGGTCCGAACGAGGGCCCCACCCTCCCTGGGGGCAGGAAGGCGGAAGGGGCTCACCTCGGCGCGCCTCTCTTCGGGTGGGGCCTGACGTCCTCCTGTCCTAGCCGAACAAAGTCCGAGGTGAGGTGAAGGGGGGCGGGTGGTGGTGCTCCTGGGGGCGTGCGACGCGGCAGGCGCAGCGGGGTGGGCGGCGCAGTGGGGGGCGGGTAAGGTGACAGGCGATGTGGCTCCTCCTCCTCCTCCTCCTCCTCCTCTTCCTCCTCTTCCTCTTCCTCTTCCTCCTCCTCTTTCTCCTCTTCCTCCTGCTTCGATGTCTGCTGCGCCTCCTACTCCTTTTCCTGATCAGGCCAACAGACATGCAACGACACAACACTGATCAAGCACGTCGTCAGCACTCGACCCCTGGCAATCGGTTCCTCCCTCCAGACCCAAAATCTAATAAACATCGGTCGCTGGACTCCTCCGGGAGTCAGTCCCAGCAGGTCCGCCGTCCCATGTGAGGACCTAACCCTCGATCCTCTCTCCTCCTCGATCCTCTTCGATCCTAAATCTTCCTGTATGCTCGACTCCTCCCCGCTCCCCCCCCCCCCACCCCACCTGCAGGGATCCGCCTTAACAGGTTGGTTATCCCATATGAAAGCCTACCGAAACTCCCAACCTTCTATCCTCGTTGTTCACCTTCGATCTTCAATCAGCTTCCGTGCTCGATTCTTCCCCGCTCCCATCCTCCCATCCAGGTCGCTCCTCGGCGCGCTCTCCCCGCCAAAGCCGTTCCGCCGCCGGCGGCGGCGCACCTGCACTCCAGCTGGCCTCCGC